GGCGTGGTAGCTAACGCTAACCCTACCTACCCTGGCGTGGTAGCTAACGCTAACCCTACCTACCCTGGCGTGGTCCTCTATGCATCAAGTGCTGACATGCTGTATCTGGGCCACTTCACGTTGTGTTTCCTGCAGACATCGACGAGTGTACCGAAGAGCCAGGTATCTGTGGCACCAACGCTATGTGTACGAACACCATCGGAAACTACACCTGCTCCTGTGAGACAGGCTTCCCCTCTACTGGAACGGTGTGGGATATTGGGACTGTATGCATTGGTATGTGTCTTGTATGTTCCCAAAATATTAAGTGATGGTTGAAGCTTCTGAAATGTGACGGCCATTAATCTCTCTCTCTCTCTCTCTCTCTCTCTCTCTCTCTCACACTCACACACACACACACACACACACATGCATGTGTGCCACCCAGACATGCAACAGAAAATTAATTCATTAATCGCTCAAGAGGTTAGTTGTTGGTCTTCAGATGGGAGATGTTGGGAAGGTACCACTATGAAAACATTCATAAAATAAGCACTATACCTATATTTGTTTTCTATAGTCCCAAAACGTGATGACCACTCTCAGCAATATCATGGAGGACTTGGAGAACAGCCCAGACCTGATTATCCCTGAAACAGTCAGTATCTAGAACCCAACCAACGGCTGCAGGATATAAGGAGATCATCAGAAATGTTTTATAGCATCCATTGCAATACCAGTTCAATGAGGTTGATCCACAAGGAAATGCTTTTCTCCTTTTCAGGTTGCCGTAAACATCCTGACGACACTGGTCAACTTTGCAGGCAGGCTAGTGAATATCACCGTGCAGGAAGGCGCTGTGGACATTGGCAGCCTTCTGCTGAAGATTTATGAAAAGTTCCTCTCGTTCTGCGTGGGAAACCCTCAAAGCAACTACACAGCGAGCGTGGTGGCGCCCCAGTTCGGTGGGCGAGCGGCTAATGGCCTTGCAGCTCTGCTTCTGAAGACGCTGTAGATCTCACGCAGAGTTGTTTGTGTTCTTTTTTTTTGTTTTTCTTTAGAGATTTCCATGATGACCGTTGGACCTGGGTCAAGCTGGCGTCTGGGTGCAGCCCCTGTTCTAAGTGCCAGGAACAACACGATGAAAATCAATATTTCAAGTATAGCCGAGAAGAACAATGGTAAAAATCAAGGAGAGAGTCAATCACAGGGAATGATGACAGTGACGTGTGAGCTCTAAGGCCTTCTGTCCCGCAGGGTCGGCGGGGGCCGTGCTGATGTCAGTCAGCGGAATGGACAGACTCTTAAATGGCTCTTTCGCTACGAGTGGCACCAAGATCTACTCTGATGTCAGCATCGCCCTCGTCCCACGGGCGAACGCCAGCAGACTTCCTGAGTCTGTCAACTTCACATTTCAGCACAAGCAGGTGAAGATTGGGCATGTGGCTGAGAGGCTGACATGCTAGAGATCATGTACCATTCGGGTGAAAAGCTGCAGCCATGACAAAATCACAGGAGCGTAATGCTAACCCTCCAGCAGAGGTGCATGTGATTATAAAGCTATTTCCACAAGCTATTAGTGAGGAGGTCTGAGACTGTTGGTAGTACGTAGGTCTCATCGGCCCATGAGCCAGAAAACCCAGCAGAACCGGGTTGGGTCAGTATCGTGCTGGACACGTGAGGCTCTGCCTACACAGATCGCTTCCAGGCTTCTCTCTGAGGCTGACTCCGGTGCTGTCGCCTGCCTGTCTGCCCCAGGAGCCTCCTAAGGATGGCAGGCTGACCTGCGTCTACTGGGAGGACCGTGGGGGGGTGCAGCAGTGGTCCACAGAGGGCTGCGTGACGCTCAGCTCTGTCAGCAGCCACACTGCCTGCAGCTGCAGCCACCTCTCCACCTTTGCTGTCATCCTGCAGACAGGACAGGTTCAGGTGGGTGTCCCCGGTAGAGCGCGGGGGACGTGGGGCTCCCCTCTGAACGCTATCTCTGTTCTGTAAGGGGGGCGTAGATGAAGACGACCCTGTGCTGACCTGGCTGAGCCCGATCTGCATGGGTGTGGGCTTGGTCTTCCTGAGCCTTGCGGTTCTCAGCTTCCTCTTCTGCAGCTGGAACCCCAAGGTGAACAACACGGCGCGCCTTCACCTCAGCCTGAACCTCCTCCTGGCACACCTGCTCTTCTTGCTGGGCATAAACCGCACGCAGAACCGGGTGAGGACCCTCCCAGGCAGGCCTAGTCTGCCTTCCGTGCTTTAGTGGTGTGAGAGAGGGTCTGCAAGCTTCTCGGGGCCTCTGTGTGAATGATAATGCAGGAATCCTTATTCTCAGCTGTCAAACAGCCCTCCCTTTCTCAGTTGGCTTATCATATTATATAACTGTTATTTTGCACTGTTCTGTTATTCACTTTGTACAAAGGCTTCTGCCAGATGTAGATGAATATCTGAGGACCAGCCTACAGAAGGTCCTGTCCTTCAGTTACTTTAATTCCACATAGTGTTAGATGCTGACTCTGCTGCTGTTAACTCATACCCACCCTCTGTCATCCCCAGCTCGTGTGTGCTGTCATCGCTGGGCTGCTGCACTATGCCTTTGTGTCCAGCTTCGTATGGATGTTCCTGGAGGCACTGCAGCTCTTCCTATTGGTCAGGGGCCTAAACAAGGTGCAGGTCATCCAAAGGGAGGGGCTAAAGGCCCAGTACCTCCTGCTGATTGGCTACGGGACTCCCTTAATAGTGGTAGGCGTGTCAGCAGGATTATTTCCATCTGGATACGGTAGTGCGGATATGTGAGTATCTCTCTCATTTAGATGTTGCAAATAAAGTTTCATTGCATCCTCACTACAACTCGCATAATTTGAATTTGCATCCTTTATGTTGGAAAAATTCCATGCAAAAATCCTTCAGAAACTAAGAGGCCGCATCACTCTCGTCTCAAAGCTGTTCTGCTTGGTGCCCTGATTGGAGAACGCTGACATTGATGCTTAGGACACGCTTTTCTCTTTAAGGTGCTGGCTGAGTAAGGAACACGGATTTTTATGGAGCTTTTTGGGTCCCATGTGCATGATAATCTGTGTATGTATTCCTACTGACAATTCTTCGCTCAGCGCTCACTTTAACACCCATAATTGAATTTCTGAATGGTACATATGGACACTGAGCAGGCCCGTCTTGTGATTCCATTGCAGATTAACTGTGTGTTGTTTGGAATCATGCTCTGGAATCTTCGTCTTACTTTGGCCAATATGAAGAGCAATGTTTCCCAGGCCAAGGACACTAGGTGCGTATGCTTGTGTGTCTGACCCCAGGACCTCGCCACCGAGGACTGACTGCTGTGAGCGATGTTTCCCAGGCTAGGGACACTAGGTGCGTATGCGTGTGTGTCTGACCCCAGGACCTCGCCTCCGAGGACTGACTGCTGTGAACGATGTTTCCCAGGCTAGGGACACTAGGTGCGTATGCTTGTGTGTCTGACCCCAGGACCTCGCCACCGAGGACTGACTGCTTTGTCTTGTTTCCCTTCCAGACTGATCATTTTCAAAATCCTCGCCCAGTGCATCATATTGGGCGCTTCCTGGCTACTGGGCTTTTGGAAGAATAGCCTCTTCGCACAGTACCTCTTTGTCATCCTCAGCTCGCAACAGGGAACCTTCATCTTCATCGTCCACTGTTTGTTCAACAGAGAGGTCGTTTTCCAGTCCATGTGGAGCTTTTGCTTTACAAATTAATATCTGAAATGCCATCCATCCATCCATCCATCCATCCATCCATGAAATGATATGCTGAAAATCCTGAAATTATATAAACGAATTGGAAATCATTCAATTAAAAATTCTCATTCATATCATTGTGACAGATGACAACCTATCTGTGAATAATAATATTTCACTATGTGATGTGACACTGGGATTTTTATTCTCATGGGTACTGTTAGAATATGTCATAACATCAAGGAAAATAACATTTCATTTAATTCCGACCCATTTCATTTCATCATTCCATTTCATTTCTGGGTAACACTTTATATTAAGGTCTGCTCTTTAACAGTTAATTAACTACTATTTAACATTTAATACAAATGGTCACATATTGTTTATAAACACATACATGGTTTACAAATGTTTGTGACGTAAGTTAATGGGTTCTTAATAGTCTGCTTACGAATGGTTGCTTAATGTATAAGCACACACAGAAAATGTTTAAATGTTTGTAAGGCAGCTTACCGCGTTCTTAATAACATGGTATGAATTACCAATGATTACTTATTGTTTATAAGCACAATTACAAATGGTTTACAAATGTTTGTAAGGCAGGTTAATGGGTTCTTAATAGTCTGGGTAACACTCTTTATGAAGCCCTCTTTTGCAATGCATTAAAGATACCTTCGTAATGCATTATATTGCATTCATACAGTATTATAAACACGGCTTTAAATATTTATAGAAAAGCATAACAAATTATGTATGCACTTCATGCATCGTGAGTGCTCTATGAAGCTCTCATCTATAATGCACTTTGAATACCTTCATAATGCATAATAATGGTCAGCATAAGAATTAAGGATGCTTTATGCTGCATTATGAAGGTATGTGTAGTGCATTATGGATGATACCTTCATAAAACAGTCATAATGCATTGACACATGACTATGCCTTTTATAAATAAAGCCATGCATTTATGATACTTTACAAATGCATTATTATGCATTATGAAAGTATGTACAATGTAGAATAATGAAGTGTTACCCATTTCTTGACTTGCAGTCTTACAGTGTTTTAGAATGTTGGGAAGGTAGCAAGACATTTCACACCCAGCATCTTGGCTGCAGTTGCCCTGGTCAAGAATTAGGCCACATTTGACAGATGTGGTACCTGTTTCCTGTCTTGAACAGGTGCGTGAGGAGTATGTGAGGTGGTTTTCCCTTCTGTGTAGAGTGGGGTGGTCCACTCAGAGCCGACGCCCGTCGGTGTGCGAAGACACGCTTGATGAGGTAAGGAGACGGGACGCCGTGTTCAGGGGTGCATTTCCCAAAAGCACAGTCGCTAAAAACGTTAGCAACTTACATAGTTGGCACCGTGAAACTAAACAGTTCTAACTATGAAAGCTACTAATGGAAGCTTTTGGGAAACGTACCTCACAGCTGGATGATCAGACCCCCAAAGTATCATCTCACACATTCTAGCAGAAGGGAAGTGTCTCTTTGAAGGTTTCGCCCCCATAACATTACTGCTACACAAAGGCTGGAGAAATGGCTTCCCTCTCTCGCTGTTAGTCTGAATGTCTGTCCAAAAGAAGGACAGAAATAGCTCGTGTGAATCTTGCTCTTTTGTCCACTTCACATGGCACTTGTGTTGCTCTCTTCCCAAACCATGTTCGGCCTTTGCGGCGAAGAGGGCAGAACCATCCGAGGAATGAGGGGAGACGGTGCCATCATCAAACACCAACGCGGCAGGCAGGAGGGACATGAACTTTGTGTTGCAGTGGGAAGATATTAGCTGCTCTGTACAGAGAGTCTCCACTGAAAAGAGGCTCTGTTCATCTGTGGGAAACTACAGCAATTATGATTAGACTGCTTAACCTGCTTATTTCTTTTAAAATATATACTTTTGGGGCTTTTCATGAGAGGGCTGACTTAAGGTATGTTAATAATACTGGTTATGACTTTGCATAATATTTAATATTTATTACTGAAATTGGATTGTATATGATCTGTCAGCTACTGCGAGTTTACTAGTGAATATCAGTCAAGGAGTGTGTTTTGTGAGCGACACAAAGTGATTAAATGCAATTTTTGAGCAAAATGTATCTGCTTCTGTTTAGCCTTGGGGCATGTAAATGGGAATGAGGGACCAAACACACCAAGCTGAGGGAGCTATAGGGTATATGTGTATTAATAAATCGCTTTATTATTGGGCTGCAGTGTTTACCGCAGCTGGGGTATTAATTGTAAATTTCCTGAAGGTTCCCCCAAAACATCTTCACGCTACAGAATGAGATGCTGGAGCAGAATTAGTGCGTCTCCCCCACCAGGCCGACGTGTATCGAGCCGAAGTTTCCAGTCCAATCACAATGTGAAAATACAATTTCCATCCACCTTCCAGTGACTTGTTCTGGCTCCGCCGGAGAACACCCTGTACCGACCAGCGGTCTATCGCAGGGCACACACACTCACACTCACACTCACACAGATGATCATCCTGTACGAGTCTCCACAGGCTGCGGAATGAGGCGCAAAGCCAAACGGCAACAGAGACCGGCTCTTCACAAATAAAGTAAGATTAATTCATATTAGCGTCAATACATAATTAACAGGAGCCTCCCTGGCCTCCTGGTGTTGCCCATGCTTCCCCTACCCCTTGTCCAGTCCCTTTCCTTTCATATTTCACTCCGTCTGCCTGCTTTTCATATTTTGAGTCACGGTGTCCAAGTGGCAACATGGCCTCGGATTATATAAGGGATCAAATCACATCCTGAACCTGTGATTCTGCGAATGGTGAGTCAGTGAGTCACCAAGGGGACACACTGAGTCTGAATTACAGTGAGATTGTGTGACCTTGTGTTTCTGAAGGCCCCAATCTCAGTGTCTGCTGCAGTGACACTTTAATGCAGGAAGCTGTTCTTTTGTGAAACTGTTTATTTCTGTCAGCTAAATCCTTACTGCTCAGTTGTCTCTCAGCATATATATCTCCAAGAGTGGCCTGTGCTGTGATTTTTAAATCAAAGCTTTTTTTTTTCCCCCCAATCAAATATTCATAACCTATAAGCGTTACAGTGATATGCATAATATATGCTGATCAGTTCATACATCTTGCAGCTGTTCTGTAATGGCAGTCATGGAAGAAACATGCGTGGTTATTTATGAAAGATCACAAAGCAAACAGCAAACACCTAAAAAGAAAGTTGCTATGAGCTGAATTTGTTAAAGAAAAAAATCCTCCAGTGCTCTTATATTTGTTTGTTTTTTTTTTCTGAATCTGTGGGAGAAAGAAAAGCTACTATAGATAACTATACTCCTTATGTCACTGTATGACACAGGAAGAATAATTAGAGACGAACCTTTTCTGATGGCAAAATGTATCGCAGAACTATGTGTCTTATATTCATTCATGGTCATGATGTAATTAATATAGCCATTTTCCTAAAGTAAAGAATAAATGAAAAATGTTCAGGGATACTTTAGATGAATATTTAAAGTGTTTTCACGTACGTCTTACCATTAACATATTTAGACAAACGAACACATGACTGGTAGTATTTTTTCCTCTTGTGGGGGGGGGTTGCGTTCTTTCTTACACCTCAAAAGAAAAAAAAAACAACAAAAAAAAAACAGTGTACCAGGAAGTGAGGATGATGAAACACTGTGGTGACTCAGTGCCCAGCTGAGATTGTGTCGGGCTTGTAGAAATGAGGGTGCATTCCAGATAATGCGTGGAGAATTTCATGCTAAAACTATCAATTGGTCACTGTCGAGACAAGGCTGCCTCACCTGGGGTGATCCTGCTAACATGCTGCATCTTTGCCTTCCATAACTGAAAGTGTGTGACGGATCCTCACACCATCTCCTGTCAGAGCTTTTCTGGCCCAACAACACCAAGGTGCTGAATCTCGCTTACAGTCATTTGACTTTGCTCTCAGATCACGGCTCCTTCAATTTGACCGACCTGGAAGAATTGTGGCTGGACAATAATCAGATCTCTGAGATCCAGGACTTTGCCTTCCAGGGTTTCTCCATACCTTAGACGTCTCCTTTAATCAGCTGGGCTGTGAGAGCCCGTCATGTCAGAGCACTAGCTTCTTGGAAGCTTGTAGCACAGGGAATCAGATATAAATGCGTCCATTTCCATTTTACAAGGAAGCCTTACTTTAATTACCTTGATTTAAAAAAAAAAAAACGATTTGATTACACTGCCAAGCATTTCTCATAGAATGTCACACATGTGGAACTTTCCAGAAATCATCTCTCGAACCCTGAGGCATTAGCTCCTTTAAGTCCCCAGTCCATAGATTTCAGGCACCACCCCACGAACGTCACACGGCTTCTCACAAAAACTAGCTGGGCACCTAGTCTACAAAATGTCAGCCTGTCCCTGCAGTCCGGCCTCTCAGATTACACATCCCTTTACTCCCTGTGTGATGTTTTAACGATGCGTCAAGTCTCTTCCTCCATCTGACCGAAGGGCAGTACACTGAAGCTAAAGGAGCCTTTCAGAACTGCTCTCCTCCGTTGCCTGGACTTGTCCCAGAATGAGATTCAGCAGCCTCAGCTCTTCTCCTGTCATCAGCGTCTAAGTTCTCTTAGGACTTGGAAGCTAGACCACAACCATATCAGAAACCTCAATTTTTGCACAAACTTCAAGAGCATCCTTCATTTCCCTACCTGACCTTTTTTGACTCTACAGCATAACCACATCTTCTCCAGTCAGGAATATGCCACGGCTGTCCCATGAACCTCAACAACAGCGGTGCCAACCTGGAGGAACCGGTCCTCTTCAGAAATGCAATAGAGGTCATTTTACGACGTCACTTTCCGAGTTCTTCGTAAGCTAAGTGTCCTGAAGCTCAGAAACATCCGACTCAGGTCCCTCTACAGGAACAGCTTCAGAAGCCCCGAGTCCAGGTGCTGGACCTTGGTGGCAACAGTCTGGAGTACATCAGTGCTGGTGCATTTGAAGGCTTACTTGAGCTCACTTAATTATACCTGGACCGTAATCAGATAAAAATGGTGATGAGACGGACATTCGTCAATCTGAAGAAGCTTCTGATTTTGGATCTGGTCAGTAATAACCTTCGAGTGTATGACGGGACCGCCCCCCCCTCCCCCCCCTATTCTTGAAATGTCCAGCTTGCCAACCCTGAAACCCCAGAGACAGCAGCCTCATGGATTCTGTCAGCTGCCAGCTAAGCTCTTTTCAGGGCTGTGGGACTTGAGGCAGTTTCACCTCTCCTCCAATAAACTTTATAGTTTAGATTCTGCACCATTTTCCATGCTGGGCAACCTCACGCATCTCGAAATGAGCGACATGTGCAACAGCAAAGCTCAGGTGCCCAACAGGACCTTCACCTCACTTTCGAGCCTCAAGACTTTGGTCCTGGAGAACTTTGGCCTGACTGAAATTGGGGCAGTCACCTTCTGGACCTTGTCCTCACCAACAACATGATCCAGACCATTCCACTCATTATCGAACAGTTCTTGCACCAATTCCGCTTCTGGGACATTCACTTTCAACCCTATGGCCGGCATTTGCCCTAATGAGGAATTCAGACACTGAGCCATCAACTTCAGAGTCCATGTGATCCTCGTTTATAGCATCAGGTATCCAACCAGCATGATGGTAAACCCCAAAAAACTTGCCAATGGGCAGCCTGTGGTCTGCACGACCCGGCGGAGTTCCTGGCTTTCATGCTGAGCGCCTCAGTGTCCATGCTGGTGCGGAGTTCAGACTTGACCTATGGGAAGGGCAGCTGGAACTTCCTCTATGGCTACTACATGCTGAGAATATGGTTAATGGAAATCCAACTCCGCAAAAGCAGAATCAGATACAGTTAACTGACAACAAGCCATCCAGAAGAAGTACATGAATGAAAGTATGGTGGGTTCGTGCATGAATTGATACCCTTTAGACAGACATACAGACGTGGACAAATTTGTTGGTGCATTTGCAGCTCATTGAAACAATGTTTCATTTCTTCTGAAAAGTGTTTCAATTAAAAGCAATTGTCTAATGTATACCTGCATGCCCTTTTTATGTGATAGAGTAAACCAATAAAACTGTGAAAAGAAATTATTTGGTGTTTATTTTACAAAGATATGCTACAATGGTATGGGCAGACTTGTTGGTTTTATCCTTGCATTATAGTCATGTTTCAAACTAAGTGTTTAACCATAATTAGTATCACAGGTGCCAAGTTTTTCATGAGACATTCAGCCTACTTAAAGGGAAAGAACATGCTACTGTGTTGTTTGGTATCATTGTGTGCACCACACTGAACATGGACCAGAGAAAGCATAGGAGAGAGCTGTCTGAGGAGCTCAGAAAGGAGATTATAGATAAACATGTTATAAGGTGAAGGCTATAAGACCATCTCCAAGCAGCTTCATGTTCCTGTGATCTCAGCTGCCAATATTTTTTTAAAAGTATAAAGTTCATGGGACTGTAGCCAACCTCGCAGAACGTGGACGCAAGAGGAAATGCAGCCCCAGGTTGGTGAGAAGGATAGTGTGGATGGTAGAAAAAGAGCCAAGGAGACCATCCAAAACCATTCAAGCTGAGCT